AAATTCACACCCACACCTACACACTCATACCCACCCTCAAGTTTACGTTTATTCTTTACCAACATTTCCACTTGGTGAATCTTTTTTTTCTGTCTGGAGGGTATTTCGTAGATCGCGTTGACGACTCTCTTGACTGTTTAATACTGAGCATTTCTGATTCGATACGTTCTTTTTCGGCGCTGATATTCGTTAACTGAAGTTCCTGCTGCTCCTTCTTGGTCATCAAATCTTTGACAGTAGATTCCAAATTGACGTTCTTATTAGTGAGATCTTTTGCTTGATTCTTAAGTAGTTGGTTTGTGCCTTCGAGAGTATGTATGTTCGATCTCAGATCTTGTCTCTCGCCTAATAGTTGTTTCACTTGTTGGTTTGTCGCTTCGAGAGTCTGTATCCTCAGTTTTAGACCTTCTTTCTCGTTTAATAGTTGTTTCACTGGTTGGTTTGTCGCTTCGAAAGTCTGTATCTTCGATTCCAGAGTTTCTTTCTCGTCTAATAGTTGTTTCACTTGGGATTTAGACTTCTCGTTTGTCGATAACAGATTATTGATTTGGATCTCTAACTGCTTTTTTTCATTTACCAAATCGAATACATGCAGTTCGAAATGTCTGATTTGGATCACGATTGCATCGACTTGTAAATGTAAGCTGCTATTTTTAGCCACAGTCGCATCCAACGTCGATTTCATCTTCTGATTATTTTCTTTCAGACTCTTGTAACGCTCATCAAGAGATTTGATTTGCACTTTGAATTCTTCATTTTCATTACGAATTACCGACTCTTGCGAACGTAGCTGTTTCATTGTCACCTGTAATTCTTCTACCCACTCCGTAACACCCTTTAATTGACCATAAAAAGACTCTTGCAATGCGACAATGCACTGTGTGATATGATTGGCACATTGCTCACGGGGCCCGTTCCACGTACATGAGTAATTTCCAGTTGGGCAGCGTACGACGAATTTGGGACACAGCTTATTAATATGCTCACTGAAGTTTCCTCGTTCGATATTCTGCTCTTGACAACATTCACATCGAACCAAAATTTTATTCAACATGTTCACAATATTATCCGTGCTTCTTCGAAATTCCTGGAGCATCTCATCATTTCGGCATATAGGACAGTTGTTGTTATTTTGAAGTATTTTCTCGATGCACACTAGACAGAATGTGTGATCACAAGACCAAATCGTCCCAGGATCGAAAAATGGTTCGGTACAGATGATGCATATGAGCTCCTGATCAATTGAATCTTTGTCCATGTAACTAAAGTGTTGCATGTGCTGCATTTCGAGCGCGTGCGATGTCATCGACTTGCTTTTTGGTGTCTCACCTAATGATTAACAAATGCGAAATGAAAGTTTAAGAAATACCTTTTTTCTCTCTGTTCTCCGATAAGAGCTTTGCCTCATGAGTCATATTTGGAGACAAACAAGACAGTATTTGCAATGACTCAAACTGAATCTCTCTCTCTTCATGTTTTATCATAAATTTGTATCTGTTTTGAATCGCTTTTATTGAGATTACATCATACGAGTTTCAAAACAGAATTTTTTATAATGCTATTAATGACGTATCATTTTGTTCTCGGTAATTTCCAAGCATGACTCATGAAGCAAAGCTCTTATCGGAGAACAGAGACAAAGAAATATTTCATGCAATTTCATTTCACATTTGTTAATCATTAGGTGAGACACCAAAAAGCAAGTCGATGACATCGCACGCGCTCGAAATGCAGCACATGCAACACTTTAGTTACATGGACAAAGATTCAATTGATCAGGAGCTCATATGCATCATCTGTACCGAACCATTTTTCGATCCTGGGACGATTTGGTCTTGTGATCACACATTCTGTCTAGTGTGCATCGAGAAAATACTTCAAAATAACAACACCTGTCCTATATGCCGAAATGACGAGATGCTCCCGGGATTTCGGAAGGCCCCTCGTAATTTTGTGAACATGCTGAATAAAATCTTAGTTCGATGTGAATGGTGTCATCAGCAGAATATCGAACGAGGAAACTTCAGTGAACATATTAATAAGCTGTGTCCCAAATTCGTCGTATACTGTCCAGTTGGCAATTATTCATGTACATGGAAGGGACCCCGTGATGAATTGGCTAGTCATCGCACGCAATGCACTGCTGAGTTGAGAATATTTTGTCTTGATCAGTTCGGATATATTACGAAACAGATCAATGAATTACAGCTTGGTACAATACGTATTATTTCACAACGCATGGAGCTGATGTCTTCTGATCAATTGAAGTCAGAAATGGTACGTTATGACCAGCACGGGCAGGAGCTTGAAAATGAGAATCAACAACTTCAGTTGGAAGTATCTAAGTTGGACCAACAAAGCGAATTACTGAAACAAAAGATTCCACCGCTACAACTAACTGGTAAGTGTACATATGCAAGAATAGCGTAGAGATAGTTATTGATAATTAGAGATGTAATATGAGCTACTCTCATTGACATTTCGAAAACGTGGCTGAGGAAATAGTTGATCTACCTGAAGTGTGTCTACTTTGTTTTGTTCATTAATCTGGAAAGTGAACGAGCTGAAGGTATTCAGATTAAGTGAATCGGCCATTGCCAAGATGCGATTGTCGGGTGTGGATGTAGGTATGGGGTGAGTGTGAATGTTGGTATTATATCAATTATATACCCACATCTACACCCACCCTCTAAACGGCAACAGCACCTTAACGTTCTTCCTCGCCACTGAAACTTTCTATACTTTAGCGCCAATATCTGGGATTAGCATCCACCTAAATGCTAAATGGAAACAGAGTGGTCAACGTGTGGCTGGAGGAAACAGTTATGACGGTGATAAATTTCATCTCCATCACCCACATGGTTTTTGTGTGGATGATGATCAAGTTCTGTACATCGCTGACTCTACCAATAATCGAATCTTAAAATGGCGCTGTGGTGCAATGATGGGCGAAATAATTGCTGGTGGAAAAGGAAAAGGCGATGGATCTGCTCAGTTAAATCGTCCAAGCGATGTTATTGTTGATCGAACGAGAAGCAATCTCCTTATTTGTGATTATCAGAACAGAAGAGTAGTTCGATGGCGTCTTGGAGATAGTACGTATGGTGAAACAATAATATCAAATATCGACTGTCACGGTCTAGCAATGGACAAAGAAGGATATCTTTATGTTACAGATTATAAAATGAATGAAGTCAGAAAATACGAGATAGGCAAGCCTGACGGAATACTCGTTGCAGGCGGAAATGGCAAAGGAAGCCGACTAAATCAGTTAGATGGGCCTCTCTACGTCTTTGTTGGTCGAGATAATTCTGTGTATGTATCTGACGAGAAAAACAATCGGGTAGTGAAATGGAAGACGGGATCCAAAGAAGGTGTCGTCGTGGCTGGAGGCCGAAACAGAGGAAATGGTCTTGAACAATTGTCAGAACCAGGTAAAATCTTTGTTAGTCCATGGAATGCTGTTTATGTGGCCGATTGGGGGAATGACAGAATAATGAGTTGGCCACAAGAAGCAACCCATGGTCATGTCGTCGTTGGAAAATCTAGGCGGCCTGTCAGTTTAACATTCGATCAGCATGGCAATCTTTATGTTGCAAACCAGTGGGATCATGAGATACAAAAATTCGATATCGAGCGAAATTGATACCTGGGACATAATCCAATGCGAGGCTGAGAGTGACTCAGTCGAAAATAGACCGATTCGTAAATCTATCTAAGATAGCAGCCAACCTGCTACTCTCAACTTGCGCTTTTTACCAATTAATTGTATGCTACAAAATGAAATAAAAATTGAGCGGTTGTAATTAAAAATAGCTAAATGAGAGTGTGGGATGCAGGTGTGTATCTTAATTCAGTACCCACTCCCTTCTTACTCCCATAATCAATAGAACATGAATCGTATCAGTGATTATGGATTTTAAGTTTTATCTCTAGTAGAAATTAGATGGAAAAATATTTAATCGTAGAGAACTTTCAAAAGTTCAGAGACTTATAGCCAGTAGTATATATATGAATATCATACTGGTTATCTGCACGAAACAATAGAAGACAAGAAAGAGAAATAAACACAACTGAATCAGACTGAAACATTACTTTTTCTTTTTATCTTTTATCTAAAAAACAAGCCAAAAATATTTGCATTAGAAACAAGTAAGATGAAAATATTAATAGTTCTTTCAATATGGTCTATAATTTCAATAATTCAAATTTATACAAAACCAATGCCAACTATCTTAGATACAGATATTGGTTCGGATTATGATGATCAAATGGCATTAACTTATATTTTAGCAAATCCAACTATATTCGATTTAAAACTTATTGTTTGTTCAACATTTAATACTACAGCACGTGCTCAAATCACTGCAAAAACTTTAGCAATATTTGGTCGTTTCGATGTTCCAATAGGTATTGGTCAAAATACTGGTACTCGTGATATATTTGAATATGAATGGGCACAAAATTATACACTTGATCAATTTCAAAAAGATGGAGGAATCATATATGAAAATGGTGAAGATGCTTTATTAAATGAAATACAAAAAGCAAATTTAGATAATATTTATAATGTTATTGAAATATCACCATCCACATCATTAGGACATGTTTTACAACATTTAAATCCAGAACTATTAAAATATATACGTTTATTTGTTATGGCTGGATCAGTTTATTATGGATATGATAATTCTAGTCAACCATCAAAAGAATATAATATTTATACTGATATTCCATCAGCTCAAAGAGTATTTAATTCTTCATGGGCTTATTTTGGTTTAGCTCCACTTGATACAACTATTTTTATGCAATTTTATGGTTCCCTATGGGAGAAATTTTATTCATATCGTAATCAAAATAAATATGTTCAATTAATTATTGATTCTTATACAATTTGGTATAATAATGGAGGAAAACATTATGGTGCTTTGAAACCATTTAGTCCACAAAATGGTACAAGTATTATGTATGATGTTTTAGCTGTATTTTTAGCTGCATCCTACCCAAGTGTTTCTACAATGATTAATCAAAAACTTCCATTAATTGTTACTTCTGATGGTTTTACAAAAATAAATTCAACTTTTGGAAAACCTGTTAATGTATCTGTAGCATTTCAAACAAAAGATCCATATATATCAACACAATTCATTGGTGTTACAGTATTAGAGTCAATTATTATGAGCCCATAAATTATTTTAGTATTTATTTTTTCCAAACTTTTTTTTTAATTTGATTTATTATGAACAAAGTTATTAAGTATAATAATAGATATATAATTGTCTCGTTATAATCTATTTAATATTTGAAGTGTTATAAAATGTCACGAAAGGAATTATGTTTTTTTTACGTCATAGAATTTCTCT